GCCAACACTAGGAGTGTGGGACCGATCCTTCTTGCCCCTTGCTGCCTGCAAGGTAGTGATCATTGCAAAGTTGCATCTAGATCTGGGCTGGCTCTGCAGTTTGTATTTGTTCATTTTAACTGTATGCCCCTAAGCTGGCCAAATACAACACTGATTCATAAGTATATGCTTTTTTTTTTTGAAAACTATTGCTTTTTTAAATTCGCAGTTCCTCCTTAAAACGTATAATTATTCAAATTTTTTTCTTTACCTTTTTAAAAAAAAAAGCACTGGGGGAGATATTCATATATTCATTAAAAGAAAACGTTTGTACTGTATACAAATAATTACCCCGAATTTTAAATGAATGTAATATACAGAACTTTAAAATTTTTTTATTTGTTGAACTTTTAAATATGAAAATAGTATGAGTTGATTTGAAATTTAATATGTTTTAGAAGTGCCGTGATCAAATTTATTATCTCAAAAATAACTCACGCCAAAGTTTTCATTTTGAGAGCTCTGCCTCCACCCAGTGGCACCTCAGTGCTACTTAGTTATAAAAGCATAATTTCTAGACCATAACACACGGGAACTTTTGGCAGTAGGAGTAGAGTCAAGGGGATGAATGTTCTTTATTTACATGCCCTTCTGAGCAGTTTAACTTTTCTTTTTACCATGGGCATGTGTCAGCTTTATAAATTTGGGATAATGACAAGGGAACATGCCTGGGGTATGTGAAGAGCAGAGTAAAAGATTGTAACAAGATTGTAACAATATACACACAAGAATATTGTCTACGTTTAATTATATGTAAAGAAAAAGCACAGAGAAAAAATCAGGTTAGCTCTGTTGTAGGTAGGAGAATGGATGATAGTTGTTTTTCTCTTACCTTTTTAGTATCTGTTAAATGCTTTCATAGTGGGAATATAGTTCATCTTTTTCTCTGAAATAAACCATTACAGATACAGATAAGTCACATTGCCTCCTCTTCACACTCTTACAAAGTTGTGTATCATTCTAAAACCTGTTGAACTTTTATTATATATGTATATATCCATAGCAATATATACAATTGTTGTGTGTTTAAAAATTTACATAAATGTTATCAAACTGTAGGTATTAATTTACAACTCTTTGCTCAAAAGTATGTTTCATGCTTGTATATAGATTAATTAAATTGATTGTAATTGTTTAATGTGACTTAACCACAGTTTATTTATTGTTTTTAAAAAAGTTTATCTATTTTTCTTTTTCTTTTTTTATTGGCAGCTGGCCAGTACCGGTCTCCAAACCCATGACTTTAGTGTTTATAAGGCTGCGCTCTAACCAACTGAGCTAACTGGCCAGCCTATTTATCTATTTTTCTACTGAGATAGGCTCTATTTTTTTTTCTTACAAACAATACTGTAACACGCATTCTTACCTGTATCTCTTTGTGCATAGCTTTGAAAGTTTCTCTTCATGGTCACCTGGAAATGGATTGCTGGGTCACTGTGGGGCACCACTTACTAGTCATTGCCAAGTTGCTCTTAAGATAGTTCTATCACTTTACATACACACTGTTTATAAAAGTGCCTATGTGCCTGTATCCTCACCAATACTTGGAATGATCTGACTGACCTGTTTTCCAACTTGAATGGATGTGAAATGATACCTCACTGTTACTAAAATTTTTAT